CTCTCCTCGGAGCAGCGCCCGGGACCCCTGCGCCGCGGCTGGGGTGGGGCAGGCGCCCTTGGCGCGGGAGTCTGCCCGGGCTTCGGCCCCCCGGCTCCGCCGCTCCGGGCAGGTCCAGGGAGGGGCCAGCAAGAGATGCCCCCTCCTGCCCCCCAGGTAGCTCGCGGACCTCCCGCAGTTCTGGGGAGCCCACGCCTCCGCCACAATCTTCCCGGCGGGGAAATTCCGTGGGGATGCCAACATCGTCTGTTCCTCCACCTTCGCCACGAGACCCCTCTCCCGCCCCCTCCTGGATACCCCCTTCCTGCTCCGGTCTCCTGTCCTGTAAGGGCGGCAGCTGCCGGCCCGCTGCCAGAGACCAGGGATCCCCGTCCTGTGGGGACACTACCAGTTCTTGGAGGCCGGAGCACCATCCCAGTCTGCCCAGAGCCTTTGGCCAAAGCGAGGGCCGGCCTGGGGCCAGGGCGACATCAGGACCCTGGCTGTGTCTGGAAAGAGGACTGAGCTGGGACTTGTCGCCTCCCACCCTGCACCCAGCCCCCCAGTGCAGATTGGGGCTCTCCTCATTTGCATCTGGGGCTTAGCCTGGCTGACCTGCGACCTTGGCCCCCGTGCCCTCTCCCTGCTCAGCCAAGGAGGGAGCGGAGGCAGGAGGCCATCCTGGGCCCAATGATCAGCCTCCTCCCAGGGCCCTCCTGGGCAGGGCTCCCCTGCTGGCTGGCTGAGTGTGGGTGTGTATGTGCGAGACTGAATGAATGCGGCCAGCCTGCTCCCGCCACCGCCTCTAGAACTAGCAGCTTCCAGGGCTCGAGTCCCCAAGCAGCAATGCTTCCACTATTTCTCTCTGACCCAGGCACAGGCAGGAGGAATTCCATGGAGGGGACTGGGGTCCAAACCTGCCTGGTTGTAGATGCCCTTGGGGGAAGCAGCTGTGGGGGGCTGGGCGGACATACATATACTACAGCGTGTGCGCATGGAAGGCAGCTGGTGACCCCTGGCTGGGACAGCAGTAGAGAAGGGCCTTGCCCAGGGAGGCGGAATTGTTCATCGTATGGGATCTTGGGCAACTGGCTTCTGGGCTTCAGTTTCCTTGCCTGCCCCTCACTAGGCTGTTATAGAGATGAGCTTATGAAATAAAAGGGCTCAGAGAACTGTGGAGTGGTATACATCTCTATGTGACTCTGTGGTGATACTAAGACTCACTCCTATGGGGTTAGATGCAGGGCTCTGCCTCTTCAGGTGTCTCGGTGGAACTGGGGTATGCTGGCCTCTCCCATCAGGGCCCTGAGCCCCCCTCACCCACTGCCCCTCCTTTGGAGCTGGGACATTCCAGTCGCAATTCCTCAGGGGCAGCTGCAGACACTCCCTTCAGTGAAGCTGATCCCCCAGCAGGTGGTGGGACCTTCCCCTGGGGCCTGGGCTCTGGAGGGGCTAACCACAGCCAAGGCTGGACTGGGAGCTTCAGGCCCACATGCTCTTGGAGGGGCCAATCTAGAGGAGAGGCCCACTGGGGTCAGGGTGGGCTTTTTTTTTTAAGTCACTTTTTTTGTTTTAAGATTTTTTATTTATTTATTTGAGAGAGAGAGAGAACAAGTGGGTGGGGGGAGGGGGAGAGTCAGAGAGAGAAGCAGACTCCCCACTGATCAGGGAGCCCGACAGGGGTTCGAGCCCAGGACCCTGGGATCACGACCTGAGCAGAAGGCAGATGCTTAACAACTGAGCCATCAGGGTGGGCTTCTAAACCTGAGGAACTGTGTACTTTCTCCAGTGCAGCTGAACATGACCTCAGGCACGTGCTTTTACCTCCTGGGCCTCAGTTTCCTCTTCAAAGGGGAGGATGTCAGTATTCCCAGGTGTTGTGAGGCTGGGGTGAGCCCCGTGTCAGGCTGACTAACAGACGCCAGGGTGCTTCCCTGCGTGTCCTGTCTGTGTTTCATGGCCAGGGTGGCTCCCTAGCCTCGTGTTCCTGTCTCCACCAAGGGTTGATCCAAAAGAGATGCCCCTCTGTGTCCAGGGCTTTCAGTGCTGCTAGCTAATCTTGGGGCCAGGGGTTGGGGAACAGGAGCTCAGGGGTCCTGTTGGGGCCATCTGGGTCCTGTGCAGAATATGACCCAGCCCAAACCTAGCCAGCGTGGTGGTGGGGAGGCCCTGGGCGGGTTTCAGCTCTATGTGGAGCTCTGAGCCTCAGGGCATGTACTGAGCTCTGGGCAGAAGAGCCCCTGGAGGCATTCGGAAGAGGCCCTGCTTTTTGCTCTGATGTTCCCAGAGGGGCGGCAAGGCACTTGCCTCCCTCCCTCCTCCCCCACCAGATCCTCTCCAGCCCAGCCTGCACAGCTGCCCTGGCCTGATTAGGCCAGTCCCTGGGGCTCCAAGCAACAGGGAAGGAATGTGTGTGTTGGGGGGAGGTGGGATGGACCCCTTTAGAAAAAGGGACCGTCCCCAGACTGAGACCTGGGCAGGGTGGAGCCTTCTAGAAGCCCGGGGCCTCAGCCCTGCTGGGAGAGTTGATAATACAGCCTGAGAAGTCACCTAGGAAGGTTTGGGTGGAGGGCGAGGGCCTTGGGGAAAGACAAAAGGAAGGGGCTGTCTGTGTCCCCTTCGTCCAGTTCCACAACTGTTTCTAATTGCTTAGGTCACACGTGGAGAGAAGTCCCTCACCCCCCCCAACACACACACACCTCTCTGCATCTAGCCTGGGGGCTTGGTAGGACAACTGGGTCTTCTTGCTAGTGTCGTGCTAGAGCATTCGCATGTCATGTGTGTGTCCCAGAGGGTGCTCAGCGCTGTGAGGGTGACCTTGTCCGTGACTGTGTGCTGTTGGATGTGACCGTCCGTGCTATGTCCTCTAACACAGGAGCTACCGTGCTGCTCACTGACTGGACTGCGGTTTGTGGGGGGAGGTATGTTCTCTTCTGGCCCATGACTGCCTCTAGTTCAAGGGCTCTCTCCTGGGACCTGAGATCCTTTGTGGGGAGCCAAAGGTGCCTGTTATCCCTCCCTGAGACAGGAAGTCAGGATCTGGGTTTGGGGGCAGGTGGGCGTATTCGGCACCCCCTGCCACCATCCCCACCCCCATGCTTGCACTCGGCTTCTGGTTCCTGAGACCCTTCACCTCCATTGTCTCTGTGATGGAAACCCAAAAGGAAGATGGGGCAGGCAGTCTCACCCACTTCAGAGATGGGGCAACTGAGGCATGGCAAAGGGAGAAGCCATAGTGGCCGGGTCCCCATGGAGAGACAGTGGGAGGACAGGGCTGGAGACCGGGTTCTTGGCTGTCCACCTCCCTGAGAAGCAGCGACAAGAGCTGAGTGTGCTCAGACACAATGGGTGTCTGTCACTGGGTACGCCTGTCATGGTAAGGAGGTGTCAGATTGGGAGGCAAGATACTTCAGTTCTAACCCTTTGGGCTGTGGGTGCCATCCCATCCTCCCCAGGGCTCCCCCTAAACATTCAACAGCCATCCTGCTGAGATCACAGGCATCTCATTCCAACCAGCTCTGTGACCTTGGGCAAGCCACTTCACCTTTGGAAGCCCCAGTGCCTTTGCCTTCAAAGAGGAACAACAGCTCTATCATGATACTCAGACCGCTATGCAGGGCTGTGTTGCTGGAGGTGGCCAGCACCTATGATTCCTTAACTGGATGAGTCCCCCGACCCTGTGTGCCCTGTGACCTCCTCAGAGGCTATTAGCTGGCCACGGGGTGGGGGTGGGGAGCAGGGCCCTGCCCCCCATCCCTCCCACTCCCGGAGAGCTTTGTCTTCCACAAACACAAAACCTGGAAATGGTTGAGGAAGATGGAGCCTCCTAACGACCATTGTTTGAGGTGGGAGTGGGTGTCCCGGAAGCAAATTGGGGTGGGTGGGGGGCGCACAGCTGCTGCACGCCGGCTGAGTGTCTGTATGGGAATGGAAGCAGTGGCTCACGGGGGGGCGGAGGCAGAGAAGAAGGTGGCATTCGCTCATTCGGCAGGTCCTGTCTGCACGTCTACCGTGTGCCAAGCCCTGGGCTGGACAGGGGATCCAGAGGGGGACTAGGGCCAGGCCCCGCCCTCCAGGGTGTGATCTCAGCACAGGTGGGAGCTGGTCCCTAACCTGGTCTCTGGGCTGCCTGCCGGGGAGGAGGTCATGTCTGAGCAGCTGAGCTCGGCTTCAGGCAGCCTGTGTTGACCCTGGCTATGGGCCAGGCCCTGAACTGGACCCTTTGTCCTGTTATCTCAGCCCATCCTCCCAGCATCCCTGAGTGATAAGACTGCTCAAGGAAGCTAGGGCCCACACGTGATTGGCCCCACGCTGGGTCAAGATCTGGGACACCCCCCCTCCGGTGGTGGGTTTTGGGGTGGCAGGGGCTCCCACTGTCCCTTCCCTCTGTCTGCCACCACTGCCCCTATGACTTCGTGAACACCTGTTCCGGAAACTGGCCATTGTTCCCGCCATCCTTCCTCCCCTAGGCCCTTCCTGTTTGTGTCCCTCCCACTGCAGCCCCCAACCCCACCCATGCCAGGTGCTTCCCTTGGGGAACTCTGATTCACTGCAGGAAGAGGGGCTGAACTGGGTTTTCCCCCTCCTCGGAGAAAAAGAAGGAATGGGGAGCCATAGGCCACCCCTCCAATTTGGGTGAGGAGCCTGGCAGGAGAGCGAACAAAGTCAGAGTCACACAGAGCCTGAGTCCTCAGCTGGCCCAGTCCTGGGAGGGGCCCTATCCCACTGCTTTGGGCCTGTTGCCCCATGTCCCCCAATCACACTGGCCCGTAGCTGCAGCTGAGGCACCAGGCTGGTGGCTTGGGGGCCTCTACCCCCTTTCTCTTGCCAGCCTAGGAATCCTGTCCTGGATTCTGTCCAGGACCCATGCTGCCTCCTGGGCCTGGGCCAGGTAGGGAGCTGACACAGAGAACACGTACCTGGTTTTAGGGGATCAGGGAAGTTGGGCAGCAAGTGCCCACCTGCCCCTAATGGAGCCTCCTGATCCCCAGAAGCAGCTGCCTGCGCCCTGTTGAAACTTCATGGCCACAGCCCCAGGCCCTGCTGGCATTGCCATGGGCAGCGTGGGCAGCCTGTTGGAACGGCAGGACTTCTCCCCTGAAGAGCTACGGGCAGCACTCGCGGGGTCCCGGACTTCCCGCCAGCCTGATGGGCTCCTCCGGAAGGGCTTGGGCCAGCGTGAGCTCTTCAGCTACCTGCACCTCCCCAAGAAGGACGGCAAGAACACCAAGAGGGCCCCTCGGAACGAGCCTTCTGACTACCCCACCCTCTACTACCAGGAACATCCTCGGGCTGGCGACTTCAGCAAGACTTCACTGCCCGAGCGGGGTCGCTTTGACAAGGTGCATCTCTGCCCACTTCCCTCCCTAGTGTTGGAGGGTGGGGATAGGGGGGGCTTGGGGTCCCCTCGGAGACCCGGGTCCTTGGATGGGACTGGGACATGACCCTCCTGCTATAGGCCGGCCTGAGCTTGGTCACAGGTCACCGCCCCCTGGGGACATGCACCCCAGAGTCTCAGAGAGGATCCCGGGGGGCTGTAGGGACATCGGAGGGCAGAGCTGAAATCAGCCCAGGGCCTCAGACCTGCCCTTTTTCTTCCTGGCAGTGCCGCATCCGCCCATCGGTGTTCAAGCCCGTGGCGGGTTCTGGGAAAGGCTTCCTGTCCATGCAGAGCCTGGCGGCCCACAAGGGCCAGAAGCTGTGGCGCAGCAATGGCAGCCTGCACACATTGGCCTGCCACCCCCCACTGAGCCCAGGGCCCCGGGCCAGCCAGGCACAGGCCCGCGCCCAGCTCTTGCATGCCCTCAGCCTGGATGAGGGTGGCCCCGAGCCCGAGCCCAGCCTGTCCGACTCCTCCAGCGGGGGCAGCTTCAGCCGTAGTCCTGGCACCGGCCCAGGCCCCTTCAGCTCCTCGCTGGGCCACATTAACCACCTGGGGGGCTCCCTGGACCGGGCCTCACGGGTCCCCAAGGAGGCTGGGCCCCTGGCTATGCTGAGCTGCCTGCCTGAGCCACCGCCCCCCTATGAGTTCTCCTGCCCCACCGCCGAGGAGGTGGTGGCCATGCTGCCTGACACCTGTGAGGATCTCAAGAGGGGCCTTGGTGATGAGGATGGCTCCAACCCCTTCACACAGGTGAGGGCGCCCCCCTCCACACCCTGGGGTCCTGTTCTGCCCCTTGGCATTGGGGTGCAGGGAAGACTGGAGGGGCCCCAGCCAGCTCACCTACGTGTCTCTGGCCACAAGAGAGTAAGGAAGATGGAAGTGATCTAGTCCCCCACCCCCCACGTGATGGGGATGTCGTGTCACTGGCAGCCCTGGCTAGCCAGGAATTGGGTGGAAGGGAGGAGGAGAGACTCCCTGAGAGGGCCGTGTGTTGGGGACACTTCCCCTCCAGCCACGGCTGGGGTGTTGTGGAGGGGTCTAGCTATGGGAGCGGGGCCGTGTGCGGATTTCCCAGCGTGGCAGGCGCCTCTTGCCCTCTGCAGGTGCTGGAGGAGCGCCAGCGGCTGTGGCTGGCTGAGCTGAACCGCCTGTACGTGGAGCGGCTGCACGAGGTGGCTCAGAAGGCAGAGCGCAGTGAGCGCAACCTCCAGCTACAGCTCTTCGTGGCCCAGCAGGAGCAGCGGCGGCTGCGCAAAGAGCTGCGGGCGCAGCAGGGCCTGGGCCCCGAGCCTCGGCCCCCCGGCGCCCTCCCAGAGGCCGACCCTAGCGCCCGACCCGAGGAGGAGGCCCGATGGGAGGTGAGAGACCAGGCATCCTATAAACCTTCCGTGCCCTCCGCCGCCGACGGTCGCGTCCTCGGCCGCCCGCCCCCCGCCCTTACCCGCTCTCGTCCATCCTGTGTCCCTCCAGGTGTGCCAGAAGACAGCGGAGATCAGCCTCCTGAAGCAGCAGCTGCGGGAGGCCCAGGCGGAGCTGGCGCAGAAGCTGGCGGAGATCTTCAGCCTGAAAACGCAGCTGCGGGGCAGCCGGGCGCAGGCGCAGGCGCAGGACGCGGAGCTGGCCCAGCTGCGCCAGGCGGTGCGGAGCCTGCGGGAGCCGGGCCCGCGGGAGGAAGGCCCGGGCAGCTGTGAGACGGACGACTGCAAGAGCAGGGGGCTGCTGGCCGAGGCGGGCGGCAGCGAGGCCGGAGGGGGCGGAGCGGGCGTCGAGCAGCTGCGGGCCCAGCTGGTGCAGGAGCGGCTCCGCGCCCAGGAACAGGCGCTGTGCTTCGAGCGCGAGCGGCGGACGTGGCAGGAGGAGAAGGAACGGGTGCTGCGCTACCAGCGGGAGATCCAGGGAGGCTACCTGGACATGTACCGCCGCAACCAGGCGCTGGAACAAGAGCTGCGGGCGCTGCGGGAGCCCCCAGCGCCCTGGAGCCCTCGGCTGGAGTCCTCCAAGATCTGAGGCCAGCGGCTGAGCGGGCGGCAGGAGCACCGCCGAAAAAATGGCCTGGACAAGCCCGCCCCGAGGTGATGGCCGGCTCCTTCCTTACACTGGTCTGTGGCAGAAGCTGCGGAGGCCGGCCAGGGGTGGAGAGGCCCACCGCGAGGAGGGCTCCCGTGGTGCCGTGGGCTGGATAGGCTGCCAGAGCGGCAGGAGCCAGGGCAAGGCTTCCGGGCAGAGGAGCCCCTTGGCGGGGCCCCGCCCCGCTCCCGGGAGTGAGAGGTGGCCCAGAGGAGGAGGTTGGGGAATGGAGGGCCCCATGATGCAGAAGGGCGGGCGTGAGGGAGGGAGGCTGGGATGGGAACACTGGCCTCCCCCAGAATAAAACCGCATTTTCTACAAGGAGCCCCTCCCGCCGCCCCGCCAGAGGCTACGTTGGGCCTGTCCCTGGCCTGAGTCTAGAGGATTGTGGATGGTTGGCGTCGGGGGCCCTTTGACTGGGCTGTAGCTCCCCTCCATGGTCATGGTCCGTGGGAGGGTGTGCCCTGTGCCCGTGTGTGTGTGCACGCGTGTGTGCAGCCTCTGGGCATGCGCGTTGGGGAGTGGAGGAATCCTTTTGCCCCGGCACCACACAGTTCCTTAGCTGCCGTGTGGGCTGAAATGCCTTTCTTCAGCACCAGTGGGATTTTGCAGAAGGAACAATGCCAGAGAACCCAGAAAAAAGCAAAAGGGCCGGTCAACCAAGGCATGGCTAGAACATGAAACATTCTCTTGGTAGGAACTATGGGCCCTGGGTACCCAGCCCCCTGCTGGGTTTGGGGCTGGCCTAATACAGCTTCCCCCTGGAGCACCCAAAGGCTCCAGGAGGGCCCTGCCCCTCCCAGAACGCACCTCCCATCTTTCTGTCTGCCTGTGGTGTACCCCTCCCTCCACAGGAATGGGAGGCCCCAGGAAGGTGCAGGAAACAGGCAGAGAAAGCTTGTGAGTTGGTTACTTGGTAAAGGGCCTGCAGGGCAGCAGGGAATGTGGCCATTTCCCTATAGGCAATGGAAGGCCAAGGGATATTTTTAAGCAGAGGTGAGATGTGATCTGATTTGTATTCTGGAAAGCTCTGTGCTGAGAGGAAGCAACCCTCCACCTCCAGCCCCGCACCAGGCTCCCTGACCCTTGGTCTCAGCCCAGGCTGGTCCTCAGACCTCTCCAGCCTACTCCCACCCCTAGGCTTTCAGCAGTCTGGTTTCCCTTCTGGACTTTTGCTCCCTCCTGGGTGGGTGGCCCAGAGCACAGACATAGTCTGGCATGCAGGTGGCCCGTCACCACTCCTTGCAGTAAAGTTCAGCATCCTTATGGGCGCATCACTGTAACTGCTGCCGGGGCATTGAGCACCTCCTGTCTGTTAGGCCTTCAGTGCATGGGCTCTCAGGGTTGAATTAGATGGTGCTCCCGGCTCCAGGGGAGCCAGCCCGCAGACCTCCCAGTCCCTGCCCTGATGGGGCAGCTGCAACTTCTGACAAGTTCTCTGCAGAAACCCCGGTTTGCTCCCATCACCCATGATTCCCCCTTCCCAGGCCATGCCTGGCCACTCCTCACGCCCCAGCAGGTGGGTCCTGATGGAGTCGCTGTGCTGGGGTACCCACGGGGCTGTGGAGCATGCGCTGATGTGCCCCGCCTTTTCAGGGTGGAGAATGGGGTGTGTGAGTTGTCTGCCATGGGTATGGTGTGTTTATGGCCATGTAAGTGGCAGGTGCATGTGGAGCTGTCTTGTGGGTGGTGGGTGTGTCTGGGGGTGTGTTTGGGGCTCCCGGGGTGGGAGGCCGGGAGGGCTGCTTGCTGGCTGTTCCTTCTGCTCCATTTCTTCCCTCCAGCCCCAGCCCAGCCCCTCTTGGCTCTGGCCAGGCTTGGGTCAAGCCTGTGGCCAGGACAGACCCCCATGCCTAGCTGAGCCTGTGTCCTCTGCTGGGGCAGGGAAACTGGGAGCACTCAAGTTAAGCAGGCCTGTCTCCCACAGGCCTTGGAACCTGTTTCACAGATCCCTCCAAACCAAGGTCTCTGGGCCAGTGACCCTCCAGACCCTCTAGTGACCTAAAGCCTGGGTCACTCCCTCCCTGCAACCTGGAGCTGGTCAGGCTGGGTGCCCGGGTGCCCACGTGCCCCACCGTGGCTGGGGTCCACCTTCCGGTGTACCATCTCTGCGGAAGGGCTCCCCACCCAGCAATTAGAGAGCTGGGCCGGCAAGTACAGCCAGCGGGGAGTGGGTGGGCGGTACCAAAACTTGGCAGCTCTGCCAGAAACCAGGGCCAGACCCAGATGCAGGGGGGGGGCGCGAGAGAGAACTGAAGCTGGGGTGGCTCCGAGGGAACCAGATCCCTGCTGGGCAAACCAGTTCCCAGGTCCCCAAGCCGGCTGGGTGGCTCTGGGACCAGCCGATCACAGGTGCCACGGCCGCGGCCCCTGCTCTGGAGCAGCCCCTCCCTCCTGTGCCCGGTGGGCCTGCCCCTCAGCTGCCCAGAGGCCCCCTCCCCCAGCAGACTAGGCCCAGGAAGCCAATTCTCCAGAACTGAGGTGAGCTCCCCGAGCTGGACTCTGTGCCCCTGATCTCTCCTGTTCTCAGCTCAGAGTGTCACATCTTCCAGTGGCTCCCTGGGCCCCCTTTGTCTATCACTTGGAGCATCTGACAGCCTGATAATGGCGCCCTTTCTGACCCCAGCAGCCCCTCACAGGCCCTCTGGGCCCTTGTCCTCCAGGTAGAGCCTCCTCACAGATCTTACTTCCTCGAGAAAGCCTTCCTTGAACTCATGCCCTGCCCTGTCTGGGCATTCCCCCCCATCCCCCCACCCCCCTGCTTCGTGTCCACAGACCCGTATATTTGCTGACATTGTCGGTCTCTCTCCACGGGGATGTGGGCATTGCAAGGCAGGGCTGTGTGTTCTGTTTTTACCCTCAGAGCCTGCTCTGGCTCCAGCCCAGAAGGCACTGGGGCGGGGTGGGGGGGTGCTTTGGAGTCAAGAGGGACCAGAACTCTCCCTGACTGGCGTGGGTTCAAGCTGGAGGTGGAGTGGCGTGGGTGGGGAAGTCTCCAGCTCTGGGTGTTCATTCATCATTCACGGACACCTGGGCCAAGCACTGGAGCTGCAGAGCTGGTCACCATTTCCTGCCCAGTGAGGTATGACATGCCTCCCTCAGGGCCAGACCTGAATCTCAGATGAGGAAGCCATAGTGGCCAAGGCCTCTCTGCCCCCATGACCCTTCCCTGTGGGGGGAGGGAGACAGCCACACACATACTTCCGCGGTAGTGACCGGACCAGAAGAATGCAAACATATACACACAAGGGGACAACGGAGGGGCCTCCATGGTGGCAAGTCAGCAGAGCATGGAAAATTACATTTCTCTGAGACCGGGGCCGGGGCGGGGGACCTATAGGTATTAGGGAGCCTTTCTTCAAAGACTGCATGCCCCACAGTGACAATTCAGACCGAGTAACTCACCACCCGAGTAGGTGGGGCTTAGCCCTCTATATCCGATTCAGAAAAGAAGAATGTTCTATTTCTTGCAACAAAACAAAAGTGAAATAGGTCATGAGAGGTGGGGCATGAGTACCATGGGATTCAGAGGAAAGTTGTTTCACTTTTCACCGCAGGTGATGAGGGGTGTGCCTTGGGTGGGGGGCAGGTGTGTGTGACAAAGATTGACCAGACTTGGGTCAAGCACTTGTAACCTCTCCTTGCTCTTGACCTTGGAAGGTAGCCCTCCTTTACAGTCCAGTTCTAGCAAGATTCCTGCTAAGTTAGTTTAGTCAGAATTCCCATCTTTCATATCTGACTCCCCTCCATATGTAATCTGGTTCTTCAACGTCCACCATCCCCCAGGTGATGGCTGGCCTGCCTTCAGCAAGACTCCTGTGAGGTACAGTTAGCCAGGCTACCTCCTGGCTGCCCAACCCCCCCCCCACCGGAGGTGTCCTCTTAGTAATTTTTCATCCACTGACCCCCCACACCTGCTCCTTGGCCATCAATTCTACTTTTCCTTGTATTTGGAGTTGAGCCCACTCTTTCTCCCCTACTACAGAACCCCCCATTGCAATATCCCCTCTTGAATAAAGTCTTCCTTACCACTCTTTGACAAGTGCCGTGAGTACTTTTTTCTTTAGCAGGGATAAAGGTCTCTGAGGAAGGGAAATTGGGATTTCCTCAGGAGCAGGGTGGGGTAAGGGCATCCAGGATCGGCCTGGAACTGAACACAGGGAGGTGTGGGGCAGTTCAGAGGGAGGGTCCTGTCTAGAAGGGTTTGAGGGGAGGCAAGGCAGCCCCTAGACAGACTGGTAAGTTGGCACAGGAAGACTTCAGGCTGTGAGTGGGTCCCTCAGGCAGCCAAAGGGGAAGGCCAGAACCAGGGCTAGCTTTATGTGTGTGGTCTCAGGACCACACTCAGAAGGGCCCAACACTAGCTGTGAGGCACTGCTGTTGCCATTTTTCTTTTTCTTTTTTTAGGTTTTATTTATTTATTAGAGAGAGAAGCAGAGTCCCTGCTGAGCAGGAAGCCCAACGCGGGGCTCCATCCCAGGACCCCGGAAATCATGACCTGCGCTGAAGGCAGACGCTTAACTGACTGAGCCACCCACATGCCCCATCTGCTGTTGCCATCTTGAACTTTTTTTTTTTAAAGATTTGATTTATTTATTTGACAGAGACACAGCGAGAGAGGGAACA